ACATCACCATTGGGTATTCGAACCGGTTGACAACCCACACTCGATATCCATCACAAAGTAAGAAAGCATCGGCGACAATATGCTCATTACACCCGGAGTCAATCAACCATTTAGAACTACTAAGAGTCATACCTGCCATGCTTGCTGAAGGATCTTCAGTCGGTTTGGGATGCTCAAATAACTTACGCAATTGCTCCAGTTGTGCAAGAGAGAAACTAGGGACGAGACTCACCTCACCCTCAACTTGAGCTGCTCGAGGTGGAACCTCATGACGCGGCTTGCGTTCCCCAAGATCGGACTGCCTAGATTTGCCATGTGGTGGCCAACCAATAGTATTGTAACATGTTTCTTTAGTATGTCATTGCTTGCCGCAGTGTGTGCACTTGGGACGAGGCCTTGAATTTGATGGCTGATCGAGCTCGGCCCTAGGTAACTCACCACGACTAGCAAAGGCAGTGGCCTCAACACCCGGACGTCGACGCTGAGCAAATAGACACTTTTGTTCATCGTTGGTCACAATGTTATATGCTTCTGCGAGGGATGACAGTGGCTTCATTGCAAGGATTTGACTACGAACGGTCCCAAAGTTGTCATCCAACCCCATCAAGAAGTCGAACAAACAGGTACAGTCCTCCCTTAATCTGGTCCGGCGCTCCAACCCGCACTTGCACTGACCACACGTGCATCTCTTTGGGGGATTGATGGACTAAGCCAGAAAGTGCGAAGTTGTGTGTAGAATGACGATACTATGAGTTTCTCTTGCCAAAGACTCTATATGAGACGATGTAACTCGTAACCCCTCGTGAGGTTGCTTTGGCCGAACCGATCCTTGACATCTAACCAGATTTCCCTTGTGTTTTGGCATATCGAACACTACCTATGATCTCCTTTTTCATGGACGTACGTAACTGCCCCTTGACAACGGCGTCACATCTGATCCAATGACCATTTTCGGGTTCCTTCTCCGGCCTAAGTATTGAGCCATCAATGAATTCGAACTTGTTCTTAACAATGAGGGAGTCGGTCATATCGACAACCCATTCACGATAATTTGACGAAGTTAGGACTTCTCCAACTTGCCACTGACCTGCACGATCCGATGGATGGAGGAAGAACCCTGATGACGGGTCGGGGATGAACGATTGGTTGGACAAGCCATCAGCAAACGTGGACACCTTCTTCCCATCACTCGAATTCTTGACTTCATAGGAATCACCCATGGTTCCGCGAAAGACTCAGAGAACACAGAGATGCTCTAGACCAGAGGCTCTGATACTATGAGAAATCAGACAAACACACACAAAAGCATCAACGAGATCGACACGGTGTTTATGTGGTATCCCCGATTAATGAGGACTAGTCCACAGGAAAGGTTAGCCTCTCCAGCTTCAAACTCATGAGTTGACTTTCGTTTGAGAAGGCATGTAACGAAGTGGTTAAGATCTATACATAGACCTCTCCCAACTGGTTCCAGTAACTCTAGTTATTTGGAGAGACTCGTGTATGGATCTTAACGATTTCCTTTACGATCTTACATTATACCAGTCACTTGGGTTGTAAGAGAGTAATATGAAATTTATAATTAACCTTCCCCCAACAACTCATTTCCCCAAACACTCTAGTTATTGAACCCAACTGGGTTATGACATGGTATTTATACCACTATCTTACCTCTTACCTAGTTGATTTTAACTTTGACAAAAAGTTTTAACCAACTACTAATTGAATCTCTATCATACTAAAGACTTGAGAGTTTCTGATGGGTAAGGAAAAGTTTGTTTAATCTGCATATATATACCATGACCTGTGTCCTTACCAAACTGGTTGAAACTTTCCAGAATACAGGTTATTATAATGGAAAAAGAGGCTGTTTAATTAAGAATCGTACGTCATTAATTAGTGGAGAACAGAATGGTTTTGCTGGTAATGATGAAGAATGAGTTGTACTATATTATATATGGGCGGCGAGCAGAGGGAATGGAATGTCATGGGCATGGTAGATAGACGTGTACTTTCATTTCCATCTCCTGATCATGAGCTGGGGTCAATATGTTGATTATCTGTATAGCTGTAAATTGGGTGTGAGAAAAGAAAGCAGCAGCAGCAGTTCAGTAATCATGGCGCTTACATGTGTAGCACTAGCAGACCACATGCACATGGACGGAAAGGCAAAAACAGATGCAACTGGCCATATGTATGAGTTGGTGATGGCCAGACTCTCCATGTAACGAATCTGATCCTTTTTGTTAGCCCGATTACGATTTATTGAGATAAATTGATTCTTAACATGGTATTGAAATCTTCTTTGATAAAGATTAAGCACGTGGTATTTAAAATTGTGCAACCTCAATCTCATATGTTCATTTGAGGGGTTGTGTTAGTAAATGATATACGATAAATAATTAAACATCTCCCAACAACTCGAATCATACGATATATAATTGAACATCTCACAACAACTCGAAGTATTTGCACTAACGAGTTGGTGACGGCATCTGATAGCCGCAACTATTAAACACTTAATAGTTCTTTTTTATTAGATGTATCGATTACAAGTGTAAATAATGTAATTTGGTTTTTCAAACGAATTTATCAGGACATTTATGCTGTGGATCTTATTCACGACGAGTGTCGTGAATTTAATCGTTGCGCTATGATTTTCGTGAAGGAAAATGGATGCAAGCGAAGCGACAATGGAGGAGAGGAGGGGCATTTGATTCCTGGACTGGGCCTGATTCCTGGGCCCTTGAAATGGCTTTTTCACAACACTCTCCACGTGCTCCCCTTAGTGTGACTGATTGATGGACCCGGCTTGCTTGCTTGCTGTTGCTGGGAGGCCCATCCTCCATCCATTCTTTCCTTATCCCCAATCCTAATCGCATTATAGGATGCCTTATCATGTAGCACGTACCCTTGTACCACTAGGGTGTTTTATGATGTCACATCCAACACATGGACTGTCATTTTTCATAACCCTGAAGTCTGAACAGGGTAGTATCAAGAATGCCGATGTAAGAAGTGATGGAGTCAGGGATCTAAACGAAAAGGGGCTGGTTTGAATTGTTGGAATTGGAGGAGGGGAGCTAACGTTTTATCGACTGTTCTAATTCTTGAATCTGTACGAAATTTACATGTTATGTTTCAAAGTTGGCTGAATTGAATTGTGTGTTATGTCTCTGGTTCATGCAGGGCTTATCCACAGAAACTGTCAAGTGAAGAGTTTCTAAATAATGTTGTCAGGACACAAAATTTTGCTAAAATTGTCGCCCTAGCAGCCAATTTTACACTATCTGTGTTCGAACTTAAAAATGATTATAGACTATCAAACAAATAATTTGCGAACAAATAGAAGCAGAAAATACATAGATATGGTTCAAATTAACCTGACTGGTGGTAACCAGAATTGTATTCCCACAAGGCCTCTCATGTCCGCTTAATTAGCCAATAAGATACTTGTTGTTTAGAAAACGTTTGGTTGTTTGAGGTTGAGGTACCTCGTTTTTAATAAAGGTTTTGAAATATAAAGACCCTAAAAAGTAAAGAAAGGGGAAACAGTTAAGGAAAGTTTTTATAGGTAAAACTCATCCTAGAGACTCTAGATTGTTACATATAGTTCCAACTTTCAAGCACATGCAATTGAGTTTTACCTTCCTATATCATTTTATTAGTTTGCTAACTTGCTATTCCTATCCTATGCACTTGTTGTAACTACAAGAGAAGGGCAAGGTGATACAGAAATAGCATGTATGTTATATCAAATATTGTTATCACGGTTATCCTTTATAATCGATTCACTAGACATGTACTAGCATTGGTGATCTCACAACAAAAGAAAATCGTTTCCAATCTTTTTCATATGAAGCACGAATAAGTAACATAATCAATGCCAATAAACGGTAAGGATTAATCAAACAACTCAAGCATACTATATTATCATCAATCCAACAAAATAACAATTTTTAGAACAGGTACGATTCACAAACGTGCACAACATAAGGATCTAGCCACTCATAAGACAACAATTGGAAGATACCTCGATTCACGAGGGAATATACATGATTTCCAAAAATAGGCGTCATGGCCGCCGTTTTTGGCGCCATTTTCTGAACCTTCGAAATTCTGGACGAATTTTGGTTGGAGCTCCTCTAGAGGAAAATGAACCCTTCTGTAAAGTTGTGTGTCAATTGGAGCACAAGAGGTCTATTTATAGACTCCAAATAGGGTTTTTCAAGAGATTTTCTAGGAGAAAACATTTCCAGACGGAATATCTTCGAGATATATCTTTCTTGGGATCCAAGTAAAGCTTATTCACATGATTCTGAAATTTTCTGGATCCTTACAGAAACGGGCTCTCTCTGATTAGGCTCATCAACTTGTTTGGGCGATATCTCACTCGTCCAACCTCTGAAGCCACTTCCATTTTATCCCAAATGCTCGTATTATTGTCCTATTTCATGCCATGATGGAATGGACCTCTGCGATTGCTTGGCTTGAAATATCTAAAACTACCCAAAAAGTATCAAATGTATAATAACACACCTAGAGTCTTTCAATCGTACCTTTGAGCAAATATCAAATAAATTCAAATTAAAATGAATAAAGTTGTAAAGAAATTATGTAAAAACTAGGTGATAAAACCATATTTTATGTATCACCAATCAGTTGTTTAGATTTTAGATGGTAGTGTTATAGACCACGCCAATTTTGCCTTACAATTGTTTAGTTCCCAACTTCCCATAAGGCAATAGTGAATATGTTTGTCACTCCCTAATGATAGTCATGTCAAGGTTACTATTGTAGGTACTATTAATGTGTTCTCCAACTCCACCTCACTATTGCATGATGTTATGTGCATTCTTAATGTTACCTGTAATTTGGTGTCATTAGTAACTTTGTCAAAACCAAATGTGTTTTACCTTATTTATCGATTCTCTTAATTCAGGATCCTTCATCCCGAAGAATGACTAATAGAATTAAATAAAAATATGAATGTATCACCTCTAAGTTTCTTCTTCCCTGGCTGGTTCTCTATCTCCGTATGTTGTTTGTTATGTTTTCTATAGCACTACTAATCTTCCTTTTGATATATGGCATAATCGTCTCGTTCATTCGATCCTTCTAGTTTCCAAGCCTTAGTGCCATTGTGCATTCACACCCTTAGCCACTATGCCATCAAATCTATCTATCTATATCTATATCTATCTATCTATATCTTCTATACTATATATTATGGCAATTCAAAAAAAAATTCTTGCCACATAAGCACTTGGAGGATCCACAATTTGCCAAGTTGGACAACTTTTTTACAAACAAAAAATTACTTATTAATGTATTTATGGAGCTACCTCTCTCTTCTTTAATATTTCCATTTCTTTTATCCAATTATTCTTTATCATTTATCCATTAATTTTTTTTTGTCTTTAATAATAAGTTACATGTTGATAAACTTAACCAAACACACATAAATAATAATTTTTTGTTAAATAAACAAAATATAAATAAGAAAACAGAGAGTGACATATATCACCTTTATTTAAATAAAAAATATCTGATTAAATCTTATGAAATAAATTTTCTTCTCATTTTTACTAAAATTCAATGATAAGTTACATTTTGATGAACAAATAAACAAACATACATATAAACAATTATGATTTAATCGATTAAACCAAAATATATATGAAAAAAGAGAAAATAAACATTTGACATTCAATTACCTTTGAAAAATAAACTATATTACTTTATATTTTGTTACAATGAAACACTCTCTTATTCGTACCGTATATATCTATAAAATAAAAATGTATTATTTAGCAAAATGTAATAGTATAATCTTGATCGAGTAGTTACAGTTATTTATTTAAAAAAAAATTCTTATTCATTCAGATCATGTTCTACCTTAAATTCCTCAAATGAAGAGGAATTGCATATGCAATAATTTGATAATGTGACCTAAGTTCACATTAATAATATTTGCTCTATATCCTGTTGATTGAGCAAGCTCTATTGAGGTTCTAAGTCGTATACTAAGAAATTTTCTTTCGGACTTGGAGTTATTTTCGACGATTATAAATCAAAAATTTCAAAATGACTTAAGTATGATTGTTGACGAACTTTGACTTCATACCCTAGGATGAGACACGAAATTCCTTGAAAAATAATAGATGTGAAGGTTAGAAAAATCTTTGTTCAGAATCTACGATAAACATCACGTTTCATCAACTACTAACCTAGGCATTTACCAAATAAAGGTTGGCAATTTTTAGTAAGATCGTCAATTGGGATAAACATATTTATCCAGCAATCAAGTATCTTTATCCAATAATCTCAACTCTCAAAATTGGTTGTCAGTTCGTCTAGACTCGAGAAACATGAATTAATATATGTTGTATAAGATAATAAGTTAATGCAAATAATCAAATGAAATACACTGATATTGTTCAAATGATAGGACATTTTAAATGCACTTAAAATATGTGTATTGGAGACACTCTTTATCAATTATTAATATATAAGTGATAAAATCTTTGAAAATTACACATTCAACAATCATGTTAAGACCAAAATCCTCGATAGTGTGTGTGAGTGCCTTAGATTGAGATTCTAAGCCAACATATAATCAATGACCACCGGTTGAGGTTTAGTATAAACTTCAAGAATTAACAATTGATACATATTGTATAATATACTAAATTTAAGTGTCTGGATAAAAAAAAACATCCAAAATGAAAATGAGTCGATATTAGAGAATTTAGTCATCATGAGGGCTACGGTGTGTGTCAAGTTTCAATATGGATTAATAAATCCAATAATGAAGTATCTTTACTAAGAATTTCTCACTAAAAAGTCATATTTTTTACAACATTGGTCGAGAGTTCGTCCAAACTCGAGGATCATGAATGTGTATTGGATTTCCAAAGGACCTAAAATCCCAACCCCTTTTGAGGGCTAAATAGTAAATACCTCTGATCACAACCATAGGTGATAAAGTAGAATGAAAAAGAAGCAAAAAAAAAAAGCAAAAAAGAACATAACCTCCGATACGATTAACATAATAAAACCATATTGAGCTATGATCCTGTCATCCCTACCTTTTTATTCTCCATAAAGGGGACGGCGGGAGAGGATAAGAAATAAATAGTAGGATCTTAGTATTTGCCTCTTTATATATTACATATCGAACGATAGACAACCCCAATGGTTGTCTGGCGTTATGGGGGTAAAAGCGAGATCTCTAGATAATTTTGAGTCTAATATACATATACACACACATATATACATGTATATGTAATATCAATGTATACTATACTTTATTTAACTCAAGATACGATAGAAGATAGGTATTACGAAGTATGTGCATAAATTAGAGGTTACATAATTAGGGACTAGAGTTCACCTATTAGAGGTTAGGGTATAGTATCATGTCCCAAAAAACTCCGGTTAATTCGGGTCTAAATAGTAAAACTCAATGGTCGTATGGTAGTATAAACACAAGAGTATAGTGTACTCCTGGCGCACGCTAGCTTGAACTATATATATGTGTGTGTGGTTCAGGTTGGCGTACGCTAAATATTAGTGTTTTGGTTGACAAATTTTGACATAAGTTCTAAATGGGACGTGACAGCGACATAATTTATGATTCAAAAACCGAAGCATCACAAGTGAGTGTGCTAAATATTGTAAATTTCAACATAGACATACTACAAACTCTGTTATAAAATATTTAAAAGATTCAAAAAGATTTAAACATATAAATTATAAAATAAATCTCTCCGGCCAACGGGCCGGGTAAAAAGCTAGTTGTTTTAAAGCCTTTTAACTCGATGTATTTCGAGTTTACCAATTCAAGCCCAAACCATCCCGCTAAATGTCCAACTTCTCGTGCAGCTGCATCCAACAAAAGAAGGCACCGGGAAAAAAGGATCAATACTCGTAAAGAAAAGGACTGAACTGATCCTATCTATCAGCTGAAGGTATTTGCTAAAGCAAATTGCAGCAATCACCGAGAACGAGAAGCGCCCAGCTTCGACAAAGCGTTAACATAACTAGCAAGGCCACAGGTACCACGAGTTCGTCATTTTACCCGTTCATCAAAACAAGCACATTACCTTGCTCACTCCCCCTCAACAAAAGGAATGAAGCAACCACTACTTCCGTCCACTTACCTGCGCTCCTAACTGGGATTTTACTACTACTTACTACTAATAGCTATGTCGCTCCAAATCGTGGGACGCTCTCCTCTCACCCCAAGGCATATCTCATGCTTGGGGGTTCCCATCCGGGCTGTACTTCTTCATGAGATTGGCCAGCTGGGAATCAAAGTCTTTCTCCAAATCAACTTCTTCCTTCCAGTGTCTCAGCCTCATTGCAGCGATTCTGTCCTCGTGTAGTTTCACAAGCTTCTCCCTCTCATCCACAAACTCCTCCATCTCTTTCTCCTGAAGCTGAATGAACTTTGAGAGCTCATCCACCCTACCAACAGGTCAAGGGACCAATCAACACCAGCAATATACGAGCATGATCAATTGCTTATTTGGCAGAGTTTGAATAGAGACCATACCTGCTTCTGTATTCCTCCTTCCCGTGGGAACTTTGATCTTTCACCTTCTTGCGCTCCTCCTGCTGTCGATTCTCAAAGTCGTCTTCCTTTGCCTTCCTTTCTTCATGGATGATTCTGAGTTGATCCTTGAAGAACTCTTCTTGGAAATCCAACTTCAACACACACAAATTCAAATTTGTCAAACACAGCCCAACAGAGATGCTGCCCAAATACCGACCGACACTTCTCACCATTCACGCATAAACCAGCAACCATGTACAAACAATGTATTCGTTATACAAACTTATCTGCTAACTGCATTCAGTTTTCATCTCAATTCACTGTTGTGAAGTGGTGACTTACTTCGGTACATCACTTCATAGAGCTTGACAGACCAGTTTTTCAATCCTTAAAACACCATTAATCAATGCAGTATGGAGTAATGCTCATTGAAATGCAGATAACAAAGTGAAAAGATTTCAGAAACAGCAGCTTTTGAGCAAATAAAGAAGAGCACAAAGCAGAAAGGATGACAACAACACTTGAAACTTATTTAGTCAGACAAAGCTTGTAAGGTGAGAAACACACCTTTTTCACAAAATAAAATATAGCTTTGTAACCTCTTTGAAGTTCACTTAAGAGGATAACTATGCATCTGGACCGCTGGCTACAAAACCAGTATTGCCCATCCAGAGCCAATAAGCACGACACAAGGGCTCTTTTACTCCTTTCTGTTCTGAGTTCAACCCAGAGGAACTCCCTCAACAGGCCATGACATGGTCGTACTAGTTTGGTGTGTAAATACGTGGCAAATGACTTTAACAAATCACTAAAAAGCAAACCTAAACCAAGGACTAACACTGATTTGCAATTCGTTTTATTACCTCTTCTTTGTTCTGTTCATGATATATCTGGGTTCTTTCTCTTACGATACGGTTTTCCTCCATTGTCTTCCGCAGCTTCTCACTAACAGTGCCAAGAGATTCAGCAAGAGCTCTGGAATTCCTCTGTTCTTTTATAACCTTGGTCTTGTAAAATGTAAGCTGCTCATTATCATTGCAGACTTGGTTATAGTCTCGCACCACCACCTCGTTGTATGACCTCATCTCGTACTTCAGCTTTGCCTTACCTATTGACGAGATTAATATATACATAAAACCAAAGTCAATAGTCATAAAAAGGATCCACAACATCTTACGAGGAGAAAGAAAAAAGCCATAACACCGATTCTAAAGGGAAGCTATGTACATAAGCAGAGCAAACATGTGGAAGGATAGATGGGAAAGGGCAAACAACAGAAATATCCATGCACATAGACACACATAGAGAGATAGAAAATACCATGAGAATGCTGATTGAAGATGTCCATATCTTCCTTTGTTGCCATGAAACCATACAGCTGCCTCTTGCCACCAGGATAAAACAAGTTTCGCCTTTGATTATTCCACGCGTTCCTATCTGTTCCCTGGTCAGCAAAATGCCTGTCCAAGCGTGCCGCTTCAAAATAACCCCTTGAAGTGCCCTCGAAGATGAGGAGGCTCATGCCACGGTGACCCTGGGGCCCATAAGAATGTCTGGCCTTAACAGCAGCATATGATCTGAAATAATCAAGAAGCTCTTGGTTGCCCATGCCCAGCCACTGAAAACACAATTCAGGTACAGATGCATTAGATAGTAGTAACTTGCTTGATGTTGGTTACTATGATACAAGTTTTGGTTGATATTGATTCTCAAGTAGCAGAAAGCAAAAACATCCGGCTAAAGAGAGCAAGAAGTAATACCTTTTCATTGTCGTCCTTATCAAGCTTTGTGTTCATAATGATAACCATAGGAGGCCAGACTATTTCGTAGTCTTTCTCTTCCTCCTTCAACCCTTTCCATTTGCCAAAAACTTCACCAGCTGGAATAACAGAAGTTCCCCGCCTGGACAACTCCTCTTCCAGAAGTTCAGCAAGCTCCCTGTGTAGCTTTACTCGTTTCGCCCCTTTTGTTCTAGCATGAGCCATCAAGGGCTGCAGACCTTTGAACCAGTCAATTGCGCCTGGACCACCTTGGCATGCTGGACAGTGCCACTGTCTTTCTGGTTCAGCAATCTCCTCCAGTCTAAGGCTATCCAAACTATCAAAAAACTTCTTAAACCAGCGGCTCTTTTTACGGGTTTCGAAGCTCTGCTGACTAACATCAGAATCATAATCATCACTAAGAAGCTCATCGTCACTATCATCTAACACCCCGTCATCTTCATCATCTTCTTCATCAGCACCAGTTTGCTCATTGGTATCATCCTGCTCTTTTTCTGGTGACGCTTCCAACTCTTTCACTGTGCCAGCCCTTGATTGCCAATTCCAACCATGCGTCAGCGGAGGGGGAACCGCAGCTTGTGGAGTAGCCCAATAATTCTCCAAGCTCCGATTGGATGCCTGATTCTTTCCATTTCCTCTGCCAGTTGGTCTTGAAGACTCAACTGCTTGATTTGGCCAAGCATTGCCAGTCACCCTTCTTGCTCCACCATTATTTCGCTGTCCCCCATCCATCTGTCCCCAAGATTGAGAGTTAGAATTTTGTGTACCCCAAGACTTTGCTGCCTTGTTCTTGTTAGACTTCTTCGAATAGACCTCCCAGGCACCATCACCTTGTGGAGAATCAAGTTTAATATCTGCTACACCTTGATTCAACTGCTCCAACTGGGGAACGGATGTATCTGATGACTTCCCCTTGTTTGATGGAGTAGAACTTGTACCAGAAGCAAAAGACTTCCCACCCTTTCCCCTAGAACTCATCTTGCAAGCGACTAAATCTGAGAGATCATTCAGAAATAAATGGTCAGATATCACCTATAGCAGCTAATGACCAATTACTAAAATAAAACAACCTACTAATTAAAAAGTGCAGATCAGAGCTTTGCGACACAAAAATATTCACCTTCCTATAACCCCAGAACAGGAATCGGGCAAAAGTACTAGTTAAGTAGTTCCGAGAAAAGCTTCTGACAAAGTCTCAAATCCACAAGAATAATGTGCAACAAGAATAGTCATATCAAAACAATGATTTTGCTGCATGCAACCACCAGCCACTCACCACAGTATATCTGTGGCTGGTCAAAGAAGGGACAGACAACCACTGGCCAGCGTTTACTGTTCCAACTGCTCCACAGAAAGTGAATGACCACTCAAGTGCAGCAAATGCAGAAAATAGGCAATGTAGCCATATTCCAAGGAAATTATGGCAGGAGTGAAGGAGGATCAAAAGACACAAGTGCCAAAACAAGACATTCCCAGATTATTCGCAAGTGATGAGAGTCTAAAATCACCTACAAAAGATGTCACAGCTCCATCGGGGAAGCCAACAAAGGGACCTATTCCAAAGGTTTTTTCTCCTTGTCTTCAAAGGATAGTAAGCTTCCTACCAAAAAAAAAAAAAGGATAGTAAGCAGCACATTGCCCACCCGAAAAAACCAACAACCCATCCTCCACAACAGTACCCCACTTGTTCCCAAGAAGAAAACACAACGCGGACGAGTTCGCATGTGAACAACCAAACCGGAATACAGCAGTGCATCAGTACACACATGAAAAGTCCACCGATCTGTCATGCTATTACACCAAAGGAGGGAGAGATAACGCCTATATCTCACAACTAGCTCATGAAATGACCATAGCACATAAAACCCTAACCAGAAAGAGAAAGCGAGAGACGAATAGAGAACGGGTTTCTGAAGAAACAAAGCAAAAGAGGATGAAATACGACAATCGGACCCCTAGAATCAGCGAAAATATACAGAAACACTCGTATACCTGAAAATGTGAAGACGTCCGAGCTAGGTAGACTCAGGTCAGGCAGTGATTATCAGAACGCGCGAAGGCAACAGAGACTGAGGCAAGGAAAAAGCAGTGTGAGAAATTAAAATAGACAGCCAAAGAGAATGAGAGAAGTCGGCCATCGGAAAGATCGGCAAAATACGCTTACAAAGTATGTCGACAGGGCCTCGCGCGGAGATCGTCCAACGGCGATTATCGGCAGTCCCGCTTCAAGAGCAGTGAATCAGCGACTCACAAAAGGAGTGAGTGCGTCAGTGAGGACTGAGGAGTGAGACTGAGGAAGGAAGCAAATATAAGCGGAAAATGACAAGCTGCAGTGATTGTTATCCTGTACGCTCAATTTTATGTTTGCTTTTTGCTGAATCGTTCTTTGACCATTGATCTAGTACACGAATTTTTTTGGTCCATTAGTACAAAATATTTGGTGTAACACTCTAATTTGGCCAAGCACTAATTTCAACAAAATGCCCTTAATGATTAATAAATATTAAATACATTAAAGAAATCGAAAACATCATATTGACATGGTAAAGGAAACCGTACCGGAAGTCATACCGGATCCGTCAGTGGTAGGGTATTTTGTGGTATGACCGTGGTTCAACCATTGTGTACCGGCAAAATACCGTTTTTGTAATTAAAAAATATTATTTAGTTAAAAAACCGTACCGACGTATTCAGGATACCGTTTCGGAATAATACCGGAATAAAACCGGAATATACCGGATAACAATCCAGTATAAACTAAATAGGAATATACTAGATTCAGGATACCATTTCATTCGAATGATTCCCATAAACCCCCAATTGTTGTCCCTAATTTTCCACTCTAACAAACTGGAAAAATAAGCAAGCGTTCCTTCTCCCTTGTTTTTTTTTTTTTGACAAATCTTCTCCCTTGTTGCAGTATACAACAAGCACGGTTTCCTGATAGAGCAGTAACACAGAGCAGAGCTTTTTTCCTTACCTAATTTGCCTTTTGAGAATGATTAATTGGTTGTTGGGTTTAACCGTTTGTTCAGGAAAAGATATCTGCCTCTATCTCTGGCTCTGCGATGTCGATGCTCTTGAGCAGGGGGAGGGGGACGTGAGCAGGGATCAGCACGGCGGAGCGAGCGGCTCGACCTATCGCCGGTCGCGGGTCCCCAGTCGCCACTCGCCAGAGAAGAGAAGAGAAGAGGAACAGCAGAGCGGCGGAGCAGGGTCGACTCAACCTTTCGCCGGTCTCGGGTTACCGATTTGCCTCGTTTGTTTCGCCGGTAAGGGGTTGCAGCACCGCAGGTCGTTGGTCGCGGTGCGGGTCGCTAGAGGAGAGGAGAAGCGGCGAGGCAGGGTTGGGGAAGAAAAAACGATGAAGGCTCCCTCTCGATTTGCTTCGATTAGAGATTAGGGTTTTCCGTAAATAGTGATTTTTTTTTTTTTTAATTTAAGTGATGAAACGACGACGTTTCCTTCAATTCTAGTCTACCGCCGGTGGAAAGAAACCGGGCGGTATGCCGGGTTGTGCCGGTTGAATCGCAAAAACCGGCCGAAACGGTAAAATGCCTCCACCAGCCTACCGTATCGTTTCTGGTCCGGTTTCCGGTTTTACCGGTTGAACCGGCCGGTACGATCCGGTTTCCTGTTCCCTGCATATTGAAGAAAACGGGGTCGGTTAGCATGCTAACCCCTTTTGAGGGTTGGAAAAATGACACCCCTGAAGTATTAAATACAATTATAGAATTTAATACACACATTAGATATACATTAGGAGTTAAATGCCCCATATTAATTATTTGTTTTTTATCAAATTAAATCCTACACTAAATACATTCTCTCTCCCTATATCTGATTTTTCCTTTTTCATCAGCATCCGACCACCAGGCTTCCTCCGACCGTCACACTACTCCGGTGAAAATCCCATCGGCAGACTCCCTCCGACCACCTGCAAAAAATATACCACTTCACTAATATGTTGTATCACTGCACTGGTAGCTATACCACTGCACTGGTAGCGATATCAGTGCACTGGTACCGATGTCATATCTGAGTATCAGTGCAGTGGTACAAATACCAGTACAGTGGTACAACATATCAGTGTAGTGGTATATTTTCGTAGGTGACCAGAGAGAGTCTGTCAGCGGGATATGACCGGCGAAGTGTGGTGGTCGGAGGAAACTTGGTGGTCGGAGGCTGCTGGGAAAAGAAGAATCAGAGATAGGAGTGAGAAAGATCAAAGATGAGAGAGAGAATTGTATTTTGTATATGTTTGGATCTTTTTAAAATAAGTAATTAATGTGGTGTATTTAATGCTTACTTTGTATTTAATAACAAACATTTATTATGTCTACCTTCATTAATACTTGTCGATGATTAATGAAAAAATTGACTAATTGAGAAGGGGGTGTCAAAAAACCAACCCTTTAAGGGTAGGCATAGTATCCTAACCGAAGAAAACGGAGTAAGAAAATAAGAGAATAACATAACTTGGAACATTTACTACATAAACTAAATATCTTTCATTAAACAAAATATTTGGTGTATCACCTTTTGGTGTCACAATCCATAATTGAGGTATAGCAATCACATAACTTATCGTTGTCTGATTGCGCACACAATCACCTAAGACATGGAAACCACAGAACTTATCATTGCACGATTGCATACATAATCAACTATTGTGGAATGTATCACCATTAGGTAGTGTGATCAATCGTGGACATGGCTATCTATATGAGGTTTTAAACTTGTTCTTACTCGTTAGCTTGATAACTTGAGCTTGCTTGCCTAAATTAGTCTCTCAAGTACACTACGAAGAGATATAGTTAGGCAGTTACTTGCTTACTTATTTACTTGAACTTGTTTAAGACGACCTCTCGAAAAATTGGGACTTGGGAGATATATTTTTTAACTTTTTATTGACAGCTAATACATAGTTTACTACCGAATTCATGATGTTATGCATGCAAAATGAAATTAAACTTAAAGCGAATGTTGAGCAATGTAGTTCAAAACGGGTCTTAAGACGCAAAAGTGCACGTTTTTACGTTTCAAACTAAGCACAACGCTTCAGTTTTTATATAAAAACATATATTATGTGTAAAAACAAATAAAGAGAGGCCAAAACGCGTTTTTGCTCCATTTTTGTACGTTTCTAGTTGAATGAGTATCCACCAATTTCACACTCTCTCTTCCGACAAACCAGAATTCAAAACATCAATCCCGACGGCCAGACCAATTTAAATTGAGTTTTAAACCAGTACTCAAAGTTTGAGGACGATCCAACGGTTCTTTTCTTTGAAATCCTCCCTAAAACCAACTGCCCAGCCATAGAAAAACAGGGTTGCACCTTGTGTGACCAGCAACATTTCTCGACAAACCAGACACATTATAACGAAAATTCCAATGGTCTAATCAGATCCCAAAAACTACGGAACGCATCCTCTAAATTTGAGGACGATCCAACTACAAGTTTTATTGAAATCTCCTCTTGAACTCACTAATTTGTTGCAAAACGAAAATTCTCTAGCTCCTCTATTCCTCTCGTCTTTCCTTCCCAATTTCTAGCTCTAATTCCCTCTAAATTTTTTGGTTCATTCAAGGTTTGATGTTGGTGGTGATGAAGGTATAAGGAGTTGGAGAGGAAAGAAAGGACCGAAAAGGGGAAACGAAGGAGATGAATGAGGGTGCAGATTTTTGCACCTTCGTTCTCTAGAAATCTCTCGCATTCAATGGATGAAGAACCTTATAATAAAATATGCCTTAGTAATCATATTTAAGTTGACATCCATATTGAAACAAAACGACTGATAATGAGGTGTAGTTGTTAATTAGTTATATTTCTGTAATGAATGAAGAAGTCTCATTATTTTCTTATTGCATTGTTGATTTAGTTATACGTTTGCTCATTAAAATTTTTCAAATTAGATTATCTGCATGAGTAGTGATCTTTTTAAATGAGATGTATTTTGTTGAAGGTTTCAGATTATACCCAAAAACTTACGCTTTTACGTTTTACGTTCTTACTTCTGCGTAGAAACGCACATCTGACTACACGGATGCTAAGGATATAATTAAATATGCAACCTAAATATATGACCTAATCAATGATGTAGTTAAATATATAAAAACACAATTACTAACTTCTTGAACCAGAAACTTGCTATGGTTGACTAACTTGAATCAACCTCTAGTTTACTTGATCGCCGACTCGCCGTTCTCGACTCTCCATAAAGCCCATTAGGGGAGGGCATTCGACCAGTTCATTCGGTAAAAAACAAACCAAAACAGAACTAACCTGAACCGTGCAAGCACAACAGGCCACCTAAGCCGAGCCGAACTGCAAATCCGTTTGGTCATACCAACCTAAGCCAAAGCCAGATTCGGTTCAGGTTACCCCTCAGGCCGAATTGCTAGACTGTCTATGCTAATTTGTATGGCTGGCCGGCTGAGCCAATTTTTCTGTGGGATTAGTGGGGGCCAGGGACCTGGGCCATACTAATTGGTACGGGCCAGACCTTTAAACCGTTAATTAATTGTAATAAAAATGAAAATTAATAGATATCTAACCATATTATGCTATGATTTATCAATTTAATTATTGTCAAATATCGTATACATCGTTAAGATTTGAAAGTAAAATCATTTTAATCCATGCATCATTCGTCAGGCATTACAAAATGAAACTTTATAATCCAAGCAAAATACAAACAGGAATTCTATAACTATTAAAAGCCACGAAGGAGGCATAAATCCCAAGTATCAAACTACAAAAATCAAAGCAAACTATAGCCTAAATCCTAAAAATAAATTGTCCAAACTTCAAACTTCATAAATACATCATATAAAGGATAATGACTATGTCATAGCCAAAAAAATTTAAATTCTTTTTTATTAACCAAATCTATTGAATTACTAATAATTAGCCAAATGTTAACTTTCAAGTTGAAATTTTGTAAATCATATTGACTTGACAACATGATACTGACTTGGAAGAGATACATAGAGGTTAACATTCCAAAATTTTAGTATTTTAACTAAAAAATAAGTTACAAAATTATTAATGATAACGTAAAAATGGCTAATATTTTGATGCATTACGAAACGTTTGGGTAATTTTTAGTATTTCGATAGGTTTGGCTAATAAAAAAATATGAAAAAAGTTTGGCTAATAAACAGTCATATAAATTAGGGCTAATTTCACTAGAAAGACCAAATTATTTAAAAAGTGCCATTTGTGTCCTAAACTTTTTTTTATGAATCGGTTTGGTTAATTTCATCAAAAAGCGACACTAGCAACACTCTTGCTAGTTAGGGAAAACACATCAGTTTGTTCAACCTGTACTATTTACAAAACTTAAAAACGACTCAAAATTGTCTCTCCCAAATAACCCCTTAGCCTCATACTGGATAATTCTACACAAAACCTAACAATCCCTGCACTAACCACTAAACACTCTGCTACATCTTTCTCTCCACAA